GTAATCCTGAAGACCTTGAATAGCTGGTTCAGGTGTGTTTGAACTAGAGGTGGCCCTCCAGGAGCAAGATTGGACATCCCTGGCTTTAGCCTGCAGTATGAGTGCAGTGGTGTGTGAGTGTGTGTCTTACTTGCCGCTCTGGAGCTGTATATGTAATGAGGTGAAGGGCTCTGTGCGGATCATGTAGTGCATGACGCCGGCAGCATTAGAGTAGTGTGTGCCATAGTGGAACTTATCGATAGTGCCTGTTGAATCCTCAAAACTCTCATACCTAATCAAACAACAACAAAAAGACATTTAGAAAATCAGATGAAATACTCAAAAGATGCTACATTACACTGCTTTATTTTATTATAGAACATACTGTTATTATTTACAAATTTAAATATATTTATAAATCATGTAGATATCAGCTTGTGGTATTTTCTAGTTTTGTGATACATCTTTTAACAACACATTCTCTGATACTGAGAATTCTGCAAAAAGGACTGTAACACTGTCTCACTTTTCCCTGACGTTCTGTGCATGTCGAGGGTTGACGACACCAACGGGTTTGGACAAATCTCTGAAAACAGCTGGGTCCTCCAGATCCAATTCAGCAGATGTGTAGTCACACAGCACCCAGGGGAACTGAGAATACGGACATGCACATGAAGAAAAAAGAAGACATGTGACCCATATAATATCCACCAACAACAGAAGTGTCAGTCACGCACATTTTTTTTCAGCGAAATGGATATTAAAATGCATATTAATCACCCAGTTTAAATAAATTCAGTGAAATCTTGGTTTACTAAAATAAATAATAAATTACTTTTTAAAATGAAATTTAAAGACTGAAAAACTAAATTAAATAAAATACATAAATTCAGCCCGAGATGCTGGGTAGGCTATAGCATCCCTGCGATACTGCATAGGACAAGCAGTGTGGAAAACAAAAGCAAAAAACCAAAACACAACAGAACAGAACCAAAACAAAACAAAAAACAACACAAACAGAACAGAATAGAGCAAAACAAAATAAGAAAAGAAAAAAAACAATCAAAAGAAAACAAAACAAAAAACAGAAAAAAAAAAAAAAGGCAAAAAAAATTACAAAACAAAACCAAATCAATGCTAGCTCTGTGACAACTCACCACTGGATACTGGGATAAATCATTGTATGTGCGACCAGCAATGGTGTTGAGCTGCATCAGATATTCAAAATTGGAGATCTCTCTGCAAATCCATCTCTGCAATAGAAACAAAAATGAAAATAAACAATAGTTAGATCTGGAAATTTGGGGGGGGGGTGAGGCTTTTTGACAGCTTTTGTTGGCAGATACAGCACACAGGGCATAGGAAACTATGGGGAAAAAAAGGGAGGAATTGAATTGGGAGAGAGCAGGAATGAGTCCAACCAGCAAAAATGGAAAATACTGGCATCACATCAGACATACGTGAGTCAGGTTGGAGGCTTTCAGGAGCTCCTGAGGAGAGCGAGAACCAAAGTAGAAAAGATTGGGTGGTCTGAGACCTAGGATCCTGGAGTAGACTTTGTTCCGGACCTGTTGGAGAATCAAAACAAATATAAAAACACAAAATGCCAACCATGCTTCTGGCCATCTACATCAGCATCCTGTTCCACTGTAGTTTCTCCTGCAGTATAGCAGTTAGTATGTGTCTAGCTCACCCCCTTCCTGAAGTTGATGAAGTAGTGTGCCTGGTCGATGAAGAACAGCTCTAATGCCGATCTCCGCAGGTTGTAGCGCCTCAGGTGGACTTCCCTTAGCTGTGACAATGGCCTCTTGAAATCAAACCCAATGCCTGCAAAGATGGGCAGTGCAGAGCATTCACATTAGAATCATTAATCATATTTTATCCCATACACTACCAGTCAAAAGTCTGGAATAATTAAGATTTTTTGAATGTTTTGGAAAGAAGTTTCTTATGCTCACCAAGGCTGCATTTATTTAATGAAAAACTGTAATGTTGTGAAATATTATAAAAATTTAAAATAAAGTTTTCTATTTTAATATACTTTAAAATTCAATTGATTCTTTTTATGGCAAAACTGAATTTTTAGCAGCGATTACTCCAGTCTTCAGTCTCACATGATCCCTCAGAAATCACTCTAATATGCTGATTTGCTACTCAAACATTTCTTATTATTATACTGAAAACAGTTTTTGCCATTTCAAATAAATGCTGTTCTTTTGACCTTTCTAATCATCAAAAATATGAATCAGCAAAAACGGTTTTCAACACTGATAATAATAAAAACTACCAATAATTGATCATCAATAATAATTGTTAATAATCATCAAATCAGCATATTAGAATGATTTCTGACGGATCATGTGACCGAAGACGGCTGCAAAAAATAGTGAATATGCATTAAATAGTCAGCATAGATGGCCTCGTGGACAGTGCGCCGACCATGTAAGCGCCTTTGCGCTTTGGGCGTCCCGAGTTCGAGTCCCGGCTCGTGGACCTTTCCCGAT